GGGAGAGAGAGAGAGAGAGATAAATAACAGACAAACCGAAATAGTGTCGATGTCTGGATACCCATGTCCCGCCTCAAGTACAAGCACATTGTTGTTGAAAAGGGAAGTACAACACACACACTTTAAACGACTATATCGTTTTGAGCTTTTCTGTAAACATGAGGCCACTGGTAAAGTGGCACGGAATAACACCAAGATGGTCAACAGAGAGGTTGCTTTGAATTTTTTAAAATACACGAGCCAAATGGCTGCCTTTAGCGTCCACGGGAAACCAGATCAAATTTACACAAGTATTTAATAAGGTACGATACGTTATCCTACCCCCTGTGCCCGCCTCGTCGCTAAAATATAAACTATTTTCAAAGGGGAAGTATACACAACCACTCATCATCATCGTCCAGTGCCAGATCTGCGACAAACATTGGCGATCATGGTTCTCCATTCATTCCTTTGCTCGGATGCTCTTAAAAAAGCTACGTTTCCCTGATCTTTCAACGTTACCCATTTGTTTAGGTTCCATTAAATAAGTTGCCCTGGGCCTACTCCTGCCTCGTTTGCCTTCAATTTTGCCAGTGAGAGCTAGATGTTCAAGACCTTTAATTTATGTCTATTCAGGTGGCCCAGAAACTGTATTTGTCGTTTTCTGATTGTTTTTAACAGTGAGCGTCCCACGTGGGCTTCATATAGCACTACCTCATCGGACTTCTTTTCCTTCCACGATATTCTCATCAGTCTCCTAAGATACAACACTTTTCTTACTTAATTTTTATTTTCACTGTCTTTAGTGATTATCCAGCATTCACAGCCATATAGAAGGGTTGACCATATATAGCATTTCAGAACTTTCATTTTGGAGTTCACTGGGATGTTTCTATTTTTCAGGATTGGGCTCATTTTTATTGAAACTAGCCTTAGCCATTGAAATTCTCCGTTTTATATCTGTAGAAAATTTGTCATCAGATATCATATATCCTAGATATTTAAACAGTTGGACTTGTCTGATCTTTTCACTTTTGCTAATGAGATAACAAATAGGATTTGCTGCTTTTTCTTTATTACCATGCATTCTGTTTTCTACTACTACATGGCTGGACATTATTTTTAAACGTGTTTTTTAGGAGGAAAGAAAAAGTCCGAGTGACATGCTCAATGTAGGCAACAGGACAGCACATCAGCACATAAATGGCCTAATTTCACCGGGACGAAAACAAATAACTAGGTCTGTAATGACAACACTATTAAAATTTGATTAGGGCAAAGGTAACAACAAAAGAAAAAAGTAATAAATATAAAGCAGACCACGCCAGCGTGCTAACAAAAGCTAGCTCAAATAGAGACCAAAATATAAAGTGATGAAAGATAATCAGATCAGCATTTTACCTGTGAGAGGATGACTCCCCCGTCCAGAGAGCAGTACGTACTCCCCTGCTCCACACCTCTGGGCGAGCCTAGATGCACGTGCTTGCTCACACTGATATGAGTAACAAGGTCCATGATCTTTTCAGCCCGCACGTAGGCGTGATCAGTGATGAACATGAAGTAGTCGTAGTCATGCCCGTATTTGGCACTCACATACTTGAGGACGGCTATGGGCAACAAGTGGTTGTAGCCGTCCGAAAAATTCACAATGAGCATGCCTGGCGGCGGCGGCACCGAAGCCTTCTGGTCGATGAAGAAAACCGTGCGGGTCACGAAGTGAGCCAAAGTCTTGTTCAGGGCCACAGCCCGTGTGTTGAGCGAGTCCTTAGAGGACAGAACGGCCACCAGAAGCTTCTCGCGTATACCTAGCTCAGTGGCGGCAAATTTTGGACGGTAGAATTTGGATCCTGCTTTCGAGTCCAGCTTGTAGTTGGCGCTGTCAGCAGGGACCTCCAGCTGTCGCGGCTCGTACATCTCCTCCTCTTTGCCCGAATCCAGTGACTTGGTCTCCCTAAGTTTTATCATTTTCTGTGGGTCCTGCCGGGCAAGGAACGTCTCACAGCTGTCCTCGCTGAACGGCGCGTACATCATGCTTACTGTGATGCCCAGACACAGACCCACCAGTGCTGGGAGGAAGGAGCGAGAGGCGCACTTGGTGTCCACTGGCGTTCGGAGCAGGAAACGATTCAGTCGCCATATCTTCATGGTCGATGATCTTCTCTACAATGGCTCAGTCTTAATGAAGAACGCTGGGGTGGACCACTCCTTTGTAGTAGTGGTGCCACTCAAGTGTCTGGTCACTCCCCTTAAGGCTTCCTCAGGTCGCAATGGCTCAGGAGGGCACGTAAAGCCGCTCCTGTTGGAATCACCCCTAAAGAGAATTGGTAGGCTTTCTGTCAAAAACAGAACCACGCCAATCCTTTAAAACTGCACTTACTTCTCAGAGAGGCTACTTGTACCTATGGTTACAGTGGTAGTCAAACTCCTTAGCACCTCGACAGGGACAACTCAGTATTGATGCGGCATAGGGCACCTTCTGGCCACAAAAATGCTGCCTATTTCTATATCCGAAAAGAAGTGTAGATATGCTGCACCGCCGACAGCAACAGGTGGGCACTGGTTCTGTGGAAGACAGGTAAAAAAGAAACCACTGACGCTTAACAAGTCCAAACAAAAAGGTCAATCAAGAGAACTAAATAATTACAAAGTCAATTAGCCCTTTTATTTGGGCAATGTAAAAATAACAATGATGATAAAGATATCAATAACACTAACAATAATAATAACATCAATAGTAATAATATAACAGTAATAATTATAAGAACAAAAAATAACAATGATGATGATAATAACAACAGTAATAATTATTTTAAAACCTAAGAAAAGGATACTGACACAGAATATTCGAAAACAAAGTATGAAACCAGACATGACAAATACAAGAAAATAAAAAGTCTGAACAACAGCGATGAGCTTCCAACCATTGCGCCTATGAACCAACCTACGAGTGAAAGAGTCCCACTCGCATAGAATCAACTCTGACAATAATTTTGTATAAACACAACATCTACAACTATGACCACCAAGCGCCGACACACCACGCAATCCACTTGATTCGGACAAATCCCAGTTGCCAACCAGAGAAGGAAAAAAAAAAATGTTAAGTCTCGTCAAACATGCCATGCAACAGCGGTGACGTGAACAGTAGATGCAAACACTTTCTACGAGCGCATCGGCCCGATCTTGTTCAACACTCAGGCATACACCGCTCTAAATTTTTAACAAAGGTAAATCAAACGCCCGTCACCGAGTCGTACCAAGGCAAATTTAAAGTGAACCATGCCAGTGTAATATATTGGTTGGGGGAGGGGGAGGAGAGAGAGAGAGAGAGAGAGAGA